AAAGAGTAGTGGTGGTGGTGGTGGTAGTAGTAGTAGTTGTACTAGTGTATGTGATAATAGTAGTAGAAGTAGTAGTAGTAGTAGTAGTCGTATTAGTAGTAGTAGTAGTAGTAGTAGTAGTAGTAGTAGTAGTAGTAGTACTAGGAGTAGTAGTAGCAGTAGTTGTAGTCGTAGTAGTAGTAGCCATAGTACTTGCAGTAGTTGTTGTTAAAAGAATGGCGATGGCAGTAGTAATAGTAGAAGTAGTACTAGTAGTAGTAGTACTACTAAAACTACCAAGGCTACCTGGGGTTTGGTGGTCGGACAATCCGTCCGTCCGTACCCTTAAGGGTGGTGATGGAGTTCTGGTGATGATGGTGTGTGCGGTGGTGTGCGGTGGCGTGCGGTGGTGTGTGTGGTGTGTGTGGTGTGTGTATGGTGTGTGTGGTGCGTGTGTGGTGTGAGTGTGTGGTGTGCGAGGTGTGTGTGTGTGTGTGTGTGGTGTGTGTGGTGTGTGTGTGTGGTGTGTGTGGTGTGTGTGGTGTGTGTGTGTGTGTGGTGTGTGTGGCGTGTGTGTGGTGTGTGTGGCGTGTGTGGTGTGTGGCGTGTGTGGTGTGTGGTGTGTGTGGTGTGTGTGGTGTGTGGTAAGTTTGGTGTGTGGTGTGTGTGTGTGTGTGGTGTGTGTGGTGTGTGTGTGTGTGTGGTGTGTGTGGCCGGGGTCCGGTGGCCAGGGTCCGGTGGCCAGCCCGTCCGTCCGTCAGGATGTTGGTGGATAATGGTCATATGTTGGTGGTATGATGACCATATGGTGGTGGTATGATGATCCTATGGTGGTGGTATGACGATCATATGTTGGTGATATTCTGGTATATGGTGATGGTATGATGATCATATGGTGGTGGTATGATTATCATATGTTGGTGGTATGTTGATCATATTGTGGTGGTATGATAATCATATGATGGTGGTATGATGATCATATGGTGGTGGTCTGATGGTCTTATGGTAGTGGTATGATGATCATATGGTGGTGGTATGGTCACGTGGTAGTGCTATGATGATCGTATGATAGTGGTATGATGATCAAATGGTGGTGTTATGATGTTTATATGGTGGTGGTATGATCATCATATGGTGGTGGAATGATGAGCAGGTGGTGGTGATATGATGGTCATCTGATGGTGGTATGATGCGCAGATGCTGGTTGTGTGACATTCATACGCTAGTCTTATGATGATCCGACGGTGGTGGTATGGTGACCATATGGTTGTGGTATGATTTGATCATATGGTGGTGGTGTGGTGATCATATGGAAGTGGCGTGCTGATCATCTGGTGGTGGCATAGTAATCATATGAGGGTGGTATGATGATCATATGGTGGTGGTATGGTGGTCACATTGTGGTGGCGCGATGATCATATGGTGGTGGAATGATGATCAGATGGTGGTGGTATGATGATCACCTGATGGCGGTATGATGATCACATGTTGGTGGTATGACTATCATATGTTTATGGTATGCTTGTCATGTGATGGCGGTTGGATGGTCATATGACGGTGATGTGATGATCACATGGTGGTGGTATGATGATCCTATGGTGGTGGTGTGATCAGATGCTGGTGGTATGATGATCATATGGTGGTGGTATGATCATCACTTGGTGGTGGTAGGGTGGTCACATGGTGGTGGTCTGATGATCATATGGTGGTGACTTGATGATCATAGGGTGGTGGTATGATGATCAGATGGTGGTGGCATGATGATCAGATGGTGGTGGTCTGGTGATCATATGAAGGCGGTATGATTGTCTGATGATGGTGGTATGATCATCATATGGTGGTGGAATGATGCGCAGATGGTGGTGATATGATGATCACATTGTGGTGATATGATGGGCATATGGGGTGTGCGCACACGTGGTGCGACACGAGTGGCGCAACACTCGGTGGGGCCACTTGCGGGCACCGAGCGAAAGCCTGGCAACGACAGCCGACGCAGTGAGCGGACACCAGACGACCACTGGCGGCCCCAGGCAAACCTGGATCATGCTCACCATCACCATCATCACCACCATCATCATCATCATCATCATCATCATCATCATCATCATCATCATCATCACCATCACCATCATCACCATCATCACCATCACCACCATCATCACCATCACCACCATCGCCACCATCATCTTCATTCCCTTTTTCCTCCTCCTCCTCCTCCCCCTGCTCGTCCGCCTCCTCGTCCTCCTCCTCCTCCCCCCCCTCATCCTCCTCCTCCCCCTCCAGTGCCTCTTCCTCCTCCCCTTCCTCCTTCTCCAACTCGGATCGACACGGGTCAGGCACGGGCGCCCGCCGGCCGAAGCCCCGGCACACCCCACCAAGCACTTGGCAAAACCGGCCAGGATCCCGCCGTGCCAGCACTGCTTGAGGACAGAGTCCCGCGCACCCACGCAACCGAAAGCCTGCCCTCCTCTTCCACTGCGGGCCCGCTGACGCCGAGAGTCCCGCGCGCTGCTCCACACCAGGCAACAGCCGAGCCTACACGGCCATCGGCGCTGTAACCGGCTGACCGGCCTGGCAGCCCCTGCGACGGACGTGAGGCCCCCCACCGTCTCCGCGCAGAGCCGCTGCCTCCTCTCACGAGCGACGTCCTGATCCACATCCCTGCGCACGCGGCACGGGGGCTGGGGCGCGACCCCAGGGATAGTCTGAGCCCGTGGACACGCTCCGCGCGAAGCGTCCGCACAACGGCGCCCTGCACGCGTGGGGCCGCGGCCGAGGATATGTGGATCACGAAGGCATGGGAATAGACGTGTGATTACGGGTGCGCTCGCTTGAAATTCTGACGCCCTCTTGAGCTTTGGGGAGGTCGTCGAGGAGTCTGCGGGCCATCAGCCCTCTGAGGGTGAATGTTTGTATGTACGTATGTGTGTTCTTGTTGTTGGAGAGCATGAGTGGCCAGTGTGGCCGCACCCCCCTGTTCTTCGTCTGAATTAAGAAGCCGTGGCCAGAGCGGGCGCCATTGCTATCATGGCCTGTGGGACACCTGGCCACAGAGGCGCTAAAAGAAACATCTACAAATACTGTCGGAGGGTCGCGCTGATCTCCTGGTGGATCGGCGCTGGAACCCCCTCCCTGGCGCCAGCAGCGCTACAAAGGGGGTCCAGCACAGACGGCTCCAAGAAGTCCGCGCGGACATCGGAACGTTCACGCTTACTCCAGATTTCGTAATAAAAGGGAGGGGGTCTGGACCCTCCAAGACAAGCCATTTCAGACCTCCCCCGTGGGAGAACCCTCCAAAACATCGTCCCCAGACCCCCCAGGCCCTCCAAGATAGCCTGGAAGAGACCCCCCCCGAAGTGAGACCCCCCTCCCTTTATTACGAAATCTGGAGTATGCTGATCTCCTGCGCCGATGGAAAAGAAGGGTGGGGTTGCTCAGCGTGTCGCGGCGGCGGCCGCTGCGACACGCTAATTGCGCGCTGATGGCGCGTCGCTGCTCTGCTTCGTGGGGCGGGCGGCGGGCAACCGCTTGGAACCTCGGCGCTCGGGGACTGGGACGTGTTTGAAGGGGCCCTGGGACACACAAATAAATACGCACAAGTAACAGGATCCCCCACTTTTTCATATATTTTCTTGGTTTTTGTCTTCCGCCCCAATTCCCAATGGGAATTGGGGGGGAAGACAAATATTGGAAATATGGGAAAATATGGGGATTTCCTATATTTTCCAATATTTTCCTGGGAGTCGACGACTAATTGTGTCTATGTGTTTTTCCCCTCCTGAGTGTTGAGCGTGTCGCGCCGGAGCATGGTGGGCCAGAACCGGCGGCGCGACACGCTGACCAGACGTTCCTGACCGCATGTCATCCACCGGGGGGACTGTCACACGGGGGGGAAGCATCGAGGTGGAGTCGGCGATGCCTCGCCGACAGATCGGCGATAGGCCGCCCATGGCGAACTCGCACGTTCCTGAGCGGGGTGGGTTATCGGGCCCGTTTCTGACTACCTACCAGACCACCCCAACCCAACCCGAAGACCCGAATTTCGGGCTGGGGGGGGTAAGGGTTACACATGTGTTTTTTCGATGTTTCCCGACCCCCCCCACTGGAAATCGAGGGTAAATCTGAGCCTTCGGGTTGGGTTGGGGTGGTTTGGTGGGTGGCGAGTTTCGGCGATCCACAGGCGATTGGGGGTCGATGCATCCCCCCTGAGCCTAGTCCCCCCATATCGTTGCCCCTGACCAGGGGACCAACCCTTCCTCCCCAGCAGTTCTGTGGACGGCCCCAGGGCCCGAGCAGGAGGAGGAGGAGGAGAAGGAGGAGGAGGAGAGAGGAGGAGGAGGAGGAGGAGGAGGAGGAGGAGGAGGAGGAGGCAGGGGCCCGAGAGTCCCAGGGCGGGGCAAAGACCTCTGGTCCGCCTGCCACGGACCTCGCCTGCTCCGCGGCGAGACGGGTCTCCCGCACACGCACCCTTCTCTTGCGCAAGGCTCCGAGGCGATCCGCCAGAGGCGGCAGTGGCAGGACCGGCCGCGAGACCCTCGGCCGACGGGCAGGGCGGCCTCCAGCTCGATGGGGAGGCCGTCGAGCGCAGTGGGAGCTCGGAGGTGCCAGTGGCAGGGTGGACCCTGGGCCGCCCCAAACAGCCAAGCAGCCAGAAGGACGCCCGCGATCCTCCGCCTCATCCCCTGCGAGGCGCCCCCCCTCCACCGACTCACGCCGCCTGCCCCCCTCCACCCCCCCCTCGTGGACCCGAAGACGAGCGACACCACCCCACCTACGGCCCCACGAGGCTCGGCGCACACCAGCAAAGCTGGAGTGGTTCGTTGCGCAGTATACGCCACGGCCCCCGATGCGCTGTAGCGCTACATGGAGGGCCATAGGTGGGGTGGTGTCGTTTGTCTGCTGGTCGACCTCGGACGGGCCGATGTCCGCTCCTGGCCCGCGGGCTGCGGGTCGTCACAGAGTCCGTTGGTGGAGATCAGGCTGCCTATCTCAGGCACGTCACCGTCCATGCCGATGTCCTTCCAGGGCGGCGCGGGGCGACGGGCAGGCTTTCGGAATGAGGCGTCGCACCATTCTTCCAGGGGGTGGGATAGGGCGACGAAACACACACACACACACACACACGATGATACACCTGTATATACATACATACATACATACATACATCCATACATCCATACATACATACATACATACATACATACATACATACATACAACTCATATCCGCTGCTCCCTGGCCAGGCCCATCCTGAACCCAGGAGCTGTGTATACGCCCTCCTGGCCAAGCCAAGCGGGAATGGGGTACACAATGCTGCAGGGTTCAGGATGGGCATGGCCAGGGAGCAGTGGATATGTATATATTCCGTCGCCTTAGAGGAGGCGAGGCAAGGTAACGCAATGCCGCGTAGGAGGGGAAGCCAAGAACCAAGGAGGGCCTCTGCGCAACTCATGCAAGGCCCAAGCTCTCGCCTGAAGCCTGCCTGGACTGCCGCCCTTGGCCTTCCTTGCAGCCGCGAGAGGACCCCCGGTAGATTACAGCCAGACCAAGGGCATACATAATCACATCCGTCAAGTGCACGAGACCCTCCGCCGGCCAGGACACCTCGAACCAGGAGATCACTCTGCCCTCCCCGCGGATGCACAAGAACATCCAGCAGGCACGCAGAACAGTAGCGCACCCTCCCCGAACCGACCTCGATCGCATACCTTGGTCCGCCCGTGCTGCGCTCCCGCGTCCCCGAGGGCCCCCCTCCGTGGCAGAACACGAGGCGCTCGCGCTCCCGATGTTGCACAACGCCCGGGCTCCAGAGGCCACCATCGATACGGCAGGGCAGCGCCGCTTCCCCGAAGCCACCATCCCGTGTAAGCCACGACCCACCCATATGATAAGGACGCACGGTAAGTCATGAGGACAATCCTGGAGGCCTCGCGCGGCAACTCGAGACCCGATTTACGTCGGACCCACGTCGGATTCACGTCGGATTACGTCGGATCCACATCCGATGTCCGTCGGACTCGGGTCAGAACATCGCCGCGCGAACGTCGTCCCGTATCTGACGGGGCGGCCGTGCGGACTAGATACTACAACCATTGCGCGGCGCGCGAGGCCTCCCGGATTTTCCTCTTCAGGTAAGGATGCAGGGGCCCTGGAAGGCCATGTCGACACTCTGAGGGCGGGGCGCGGCCAGCGAGAGTTGCCAGGGATGGGCCGAAGGGGCAAGGATGCCAGGGTAAAGTTGGAAAATCGCTCATTCTTGCTATGCGGGTTGACTGTGCGGCGCGATAGCGTTCCCGAAGCCAAAACCCCTTGCACAGTTCCAATATTTCCGCGCCCCCGCGGCAGCAACCCTCTGCAAATGATGTCGCAAGTCGCGCTTCCGCGGCCACAGGACATTCAAAAACACAACGCGGTCGCGCTTCCAAGGCCACAAACCCGTTGAAATGACGACGGGTTCGCGATCCCGAGAGAACGGCCATGTACAACCCCTTGTAAGTTAAACAAATTCGCACCCCAAGGGTCAGGTCGGGCATGTTCCCCGATAGGCGGATTTTGAGCGACAAATGAAAACATACCTAACAAAATACCCCAAAATGGTCCAAAACTACACCAAACATCGCCCACAGACTATTCCCCAATCAGTGCTTGCATTGAAGGGGTCCTCGCGGAAGTTGAAGGATTTGGAGAAAGTGTCGACGATTTTGGTCGCACGCTGGGTTCCCAGGTTCCCGGTTCCGGGTTCCCGGGTACCCAGTTCTGGGTTCCGGGCCGATTTCAGCGGGCGGCGAGGTTCCCGGGTTCCTGGGTTCCTGGTCGATCTTCTTATCGATCGGTTTCACCATCGATATCATTACCCACTTCTCTATCGATCTCACCATCGATCTCACCATCGATTTCACTATCGATCTCACGAGCGATCTCACGAGAGATCGCATGAGCGATCTCGCGATCGATCTCACAATCGATCTCACTGAATCGATTCACTCACGGTCTCACTATCGATTCCACGATCGATATCATTATCAATACCACAATCGATCTCAAGATCCATGATATCAATGTTCAAATCATCCACTGATAGGGGTTTTCTCGGGTGTAATTCCCAACCATCCTGTGGTGTTGGGTCCTCGTTTTGAAGAGACAGTGGCCCGCGTCTCCTCTCCTCGTCTCCTCCTCCGCCTCCTCCCCCCTCCTATCATCCTCATCGTCTTCATCATCATCATCATCATCATCATCATCGTCATCATCATCATTATCATCATCATTATCATCATCATTCCTCTCCTCTCCTCTCCTCTCCTCTTCTCCTCTCCTCTTCACCCACCCAGTACACTGTTTCGTGGCTCCATAGGGAGCTCCACCGAAGGCCCCAGTGCCCGCGCCCGCATGCGTCACCCACACCCATTTCGGCACACCCCTCACACGTTTCGTGGCTCCATAGGGAGCTCCACCGAAGGCCCCAGTGCCCGCGCCCGCATGCGTCACCCACACCCATTTCGGCACACCCCTCACACGTTTCGTGGCTCCATAGGGAGCTCCACCGAAGGCCCCAGTGCCCGCGCCCGCATGCGTCACCCACACCCATTTCGGCACACCCCTCACACGTTTCGTGGCTCCATAGGGAGCTCCACCGAAGGCCCCAGTGCCCGCGGCCGCATGCGTCACCCACACCCATTTCGGCACACCCCTCACACGTTTCGTGGCTCCATAGGGAGCTCCACCGAAGGCCCCAGTGCCCGCGCCCGCATGCGTCACCCACACCCATTTCGGCACACCCCTCACACGTTTCGTGGCTCCATAGGGAGCTCCACCGAAGGCCCCAGTGCCCGCGCCCGCATGCGTCACCCACACCCATTTCGGCACACCCCTCACACGTTTCGTGGCTCCATAGGGAGCTCCACCGAAGGCCCCAGTGCCCGCGCCCGCATGCGTCACCCACACCCATTTCGGCACACCCCTCACACGTTTCGTGGCTCCATAGGGAGCTCCACCGAAGGCCCCAGTGCCCGCGCCCGCATGCGTCACCCACACCCATTTCGGCACACCCCTCACACGTTTCGTGGCTCCATAGGGAGCTCCACCGAAGGCCCCAGTGCCCGCGCCCGCATGCGTCACCCACACCCATTTCGGCACACCCCTCACACGTTTCGTGGCTCCATAGGGAGCTCCACCGAAGGCCCCAGTGCCCGCGCCCGCATGCGTCACCCACACCCATTTCGGCACACCCCTCACACGTTTCGTGGCTCCATAGGGAGCTCCACCGAAGGCCCCAGTGCCCGCGCCCACATGCGTCACCCACACCCATTTCGGCACACCCCTCACACGTTTCGTGGCCCCATAGGGAGCTCCACCGAAGGCCCCAGTGCCCGCGCCCGCATGCGTCACCCACACCCATTTCGGCACACACCTCACACGTTTCGTGGCCCCATAGGGAGCTCCACCGAAGGCCCCAGTGGCGGCGCTTACATGCGCATGCGTCCCGCACGCCCATTTCGGCACATCCCTGACAGGTTTCGTGGCCCCATCATCCACCGGAGGCCCCAGTGGCGGCGCTCACATGCGTCACCCACACCCACCCAATTCGGCACACCCCTCACACGTTTCGTGGCCCCATAGGGAGCTCCACCGAAGGCCCCAGCGGCCGCGCTCACATGCGTCCCCGCCACCCATCCCGGCACGCCCCTCACAACAACAGGTTTCGTGGCCCCATGGGGAGCTCCACCGAAGGCCCCAGTGGCTGCCGCCCGCATGCGTCACCACCCGCACCCAATTCGGCACACCCCTCACACGTTTCGTGGCCCCATAGAGAGCTGCACCGAAGGCCCCAGTGGCGGCGCTCACATGCGTCCCCGCCACACATCCCAGTACACCCCTCACGCGCTTCGTGGCCCCATAGGGAGCTCCACCGAAGGCCCCAGTAGCGGCGCTTACATGCGTCTCCGCCACCCATCCCGCCCCCCCCCCCGCAGCAGCATCATGTTTCGGGGACCCATAGGGAGCTCCACTGGAGGCCCCAGTGGCGGCCCGCACATGCGTTTCCGCCACCCATGTCGGCACGCCCCGCGCGTGTTTCATGTCCCCATAGGGAGCTTCGCCGAATGCCCCAGTGGCACCCATCTCGGCACACCCCTCACACGTTCCGTAATCCTATGGGGAGTTCCATTGAAGATGAAACCCGCAGCTGCGGTACTGACAACTGCATATGGCTGGGTTCTTCGCCAGGCTAATTTTTCTGTTACAGCATAATTTCGAATCTTCCTCCTGTAGACTGTAGAGGGACAGGCCCGACTTCACCCAAAGGGCCACGGCTCGAGCTCCCGAGGCCACCGAGCCCGCCCCACGGAGGCTGCCCGGAAAGGCGCCACACTCCCTCTCCGGAGAGCAGAACTCTAGCGTGCCGTGCCGGGATCTGTGCTCGGAAGGCGCTGCCTCCCGCGCCGTTCCCTTCAAATTTCTGCGCCGGGCCCGGAGCCGCGAGCCCTCAAGAATAGCAACGTGGTGCGCGCTGCCGAGGCCGTGGACCGCGGTGGGCTACAACGACTGCGCGCAACCCACCAGCCCACACTATGTGTCACGAATCATGTCCGACTGCCCATCGGTCGGAATAAGCAGGTAGAAACACGCAGCAGGAAGGCGGTGAAAGTAGATTGGGTGTCCGCCCGCCCCCTAAGGAGGACGGAAACGGTGAAGCCACTGGATCATTGAAGTAGGAAGGTGCTGAAAAAAGATTGGAACCTGGGAATCGGAAAAATACCTACTTTCGGCGACCGAGGAGTACAGACCAACCAGCCGGGCTGCCAGCCTGAAGGGGCCCTGGGACACACAAATAAATACACACAAATAAATGGATTCCATATATTTTATCAGATTTTCTGGGTTTTCGTCTTCCCCCCCCCCACTTCCCATATTGTCCCATATTTTCCTGGGGATCGACGATTAAAATTGTGTCTGTGAGTTTTTCCCCTCCTGTTTAAAATAGATTGGAACCTAGGAATCCGGAAAAATACCTACTTTCGGC